CAGTTGCTTCTTTCCAGTTTTTGGGTATATTACCAATAATCCATACATCATTGAAGAGTTTCAAAAGAGTTGTTAATGATGATTCTGGAAGGTGTTTCAAAAACTGGTAATGTATTTCATCAGGCCCAGTGGATGTATCATGGGCCTTATCTAAAGCCTCCCTAAGCTCGGATAATGAGAACAACTGATTATAACTTTCCGAGTTCTTGGATGTGAATTTTAAACGTGACTTTTCTTTTTGAGCTTTAAGTTTTTGGAAGGCTTCGGTATAATTAGATGATGATGAATTTTTGGAGAAACTGTCAGCAAGAGTATTTGTAATGTCACGTTTTGAATTAAAGCTGTTATTGTTTATTTCCAATTGTCGGAGAGGGTTTTGTTTGTTCTTTCCGTTTATTTTGCGTACAGTATCCCAAACCTTCTGAACAGAGGAACGAGAGTTTAAAGAAGACGAAGATAACAACGGTACTGATCATTCAGTGTACTATTTCTCTATGAAATTAAATAAGCATCAATTGTTCAACAATCAAGAATGAATGTATGGAGTTAATTTTGTTCACGACAGCATTTTGAAGTTGACCTTAGTTCAGTTCCTTATTTGGTTGTTATGTTTAGAGACTACACCCCCATTACTTTCGTCCGCAAGATGAAAAATAAGAATCAGAGGTTATTAAGGTAAGACTAAACTCTTGACATCAGACATATGAAGGGAAAACACAATTTAATTTCAAATGAACTTTCCCGTGTACAGAAATCTTATGATATGTACACTTTGTATAATTCATAAGAGTTCTTATGTCATGTTTTTTACTTCGTGTATAATTAACACATGGTTAAAAATTTATTATATAAATATTTCTTTTTCTTTATGAGGATTTTTTATATATGTAATTTAATTAGATTAATGAATTCCACGAACTCCGGTTATCAAAACAGGAAACATATTTACTAATAGCTCTGTGGTGCCTAGATATTGTGATAGCATATCATCTTTAAAAATATAATTTAGAACATTTCCACATGAGAATGCAACATGTACGGTGTATTTGTAACAAAAATGACTACACGTTTCCTAATCAACATAAAATAGAACATGTTAGTCATATTGTTGCTGTTCTTATGGGCTTCACGCCATTTTTAAGCACATGGTAGGCTATACATGGCGGCCAGTATAACTGGTTGAGGAAGAACCCGCAAGAAACTCGGGAGATAAATGTTTATTATTGCAACTCGAATATATATATATATATATATATATATATATATATATATATATATATATATATATATATATATATATATATATATATATATATATATATAGAATACAAATCATATGGCGAATAGCAACCCTTTCAAGCGTACTGGATCCACCAATGGATCACGTGTTTCAGGGATTAATTAAAATAGATGCAATAAACTGACGACGAACAGTACGAAACTAGTAACTAACTAGCCTAAGCGCTTTCGACTCTTAATGAGTCTTTTTCAAAGGCAAATACAAAACATATATACGACAAACAAATAAACACAAAAACGTTGTGTTTGTAAACCTCTACATGGCTGTCTTCACATGTGCTAAAACTATAAATACAACCAGCTTGTATAGACTAGTTGCGGAAACTGAAAACGTTGTATAATTCCCTAAAAGTCTACAAGCCAAAGCGACTTATATATTTACTTTTTGTACATATGTAACGCAGATTATATCCCGGATATTTGATTCTATACCGGTTATTCTTATAGTAAAAATTGAAGGATAATAAGAAGATTTAGAAAATGTTAAATTCTACTAGTGCATAGTTTTCATTTTCTACTCTTCTTGGTTTAGACCGCTTGGTTTCAATGTTCTAAGGCGGCGTATCCAGTATGATTCCTTTACCTTACTGGTTTCAGAACTCCAGCTGTGGTTGTTAGCAATAGCGATAAGTACAATATCACTGAAAGTGTGGCCAGGGGAAGGAGAAGTTTTCTGCGACCGGTCTTCTGTACAGTTTTTTGTCATCCAATCAGATCTATGAAGGTTTATACTTTTGTGTAGCTTTTCAGTTTTTCCGACGTACTGAAGGCCACAGATCTTACATGTGATGAGATAAATCACATTTTCTGTTTTGCACGTTTTGTTTGGACCATGTATGTTTAGTTTTTCTTTAGTCACTGTGCTAGTAAATGTCTTGGTCTCTATCATATATTGACAGGTTTTGCATCTTTTATCGCCACAGGGTCCAGATTGACTAGATTGGTTTTGACTAGCGATTGGCGTTAGCTTTGCCCTGACTAGGATGTCCTTTAGGTTGTTTGGTCTCCGGTAAGCTACTACAGGTTTGTTCAGAAGTATTAGGTTTAGTATGTCTGACGATTGCACGGTTGGCCAGTGGTTTGCGATGATTTTACCTACTTTGGGATTGTCTGGATGATAGGTCAGAATAAATGGTATCCTATCAACCTTTTCTTTCTGTCCATATCTGAGTAGGTCATCACGGTTTGTTTGTTTGGCCGTTTGGATTGCCTCCGCAATCAGGTCTTTGTCGTAGCCTCGGTGAATTAAATGTTTAGCCAGCTCTTCAGACCTTTCTAGGAATCTTTCATCGTCGGAGCAAATTCTGCGTATCCTCAGTGCCTGGCTATATGGAATGTTCCTAATACAGTGTTTTGGATGGTTGGGAGGAGATACTGGTGTCTGTCGGTTAGTTTCGAGTAGATGTCTGTGTGTAATTTGTTTTCCACCAGTCTGGTTGTTGTGTCCAGGAAAACATGGTTTGAGTTGGAAATTTCTGCCGTGAATTTTATTGAAGGATGGAAGTAAATAAAATTCACGGCAGAAATTTCCAACTCAAACCATGTTTTCCTGGACACAACAACCAGACTGATGGAAAACAAATTACACACAGACATCTACTCGAAACCAACCAACGAACACCAGTATCTCCTCCCAACCAGCTGTCATCCAAAACACTGCATTAGGAAAATTCCGTATAGCCAGGCACTGAGGATACGCAGAATTTGCTCCGACGATGAAAGATTTCTAGAATGGTCTGAAGAGCTGGCTAAACATTTAATTTACCGAGGCTACGACAAACACCTGATTGCGGAGGCAATCCAAACGGCCAAACAAACAAACCGTGATGACCGACTCAGATATGGACAGAAAGAAAAGGTTGATAGGATACCATTTATTCTGACCTATCACCCAGACAATCCCAAAGTAGGTAAACTCATCGCAAGCCACTGGCCAACAGTGCAATCGTCAGACATACTAAACTTAATACTTCCGAACAAACCTGTAGTAGCTTACCGGAGACCAAAAAACCTAAAGGACATCCTAGTCAGGGCAAAGCTAACGCCAATCGCTTGTCAAAACCAATCTAGTCAATCTGGACCCTGTGGCGATAAAAGATGCAAAACCTGTCAACCTATGATAGAGACCAAGACATTCACTAGCACAGTGACTAAAGAAAAACTAAATATACATGGTCCAAACAAAACGTGCAAAACAGAGAATGTGATTTATCCCATCACATGTAAGATCTGTGGCCTTCAGTACGTCGGAGAAACTGAAAAGCTACACAAAAGGATAAACCTTCATAGATCTGATTTGATGACAAAAAAGCTGTACAGAAGCCCGGTCGCAGAAAACTTCTCCTTCCCCTGGCCACACTTTCAGTGATATAATACTTATCGCTATTGCTAACAACCACAGCTGGAGTTCCGAAACCAGGAAGGAAAAGGAATCATACTGGATACGCCGCCTTAGAACATTGAAACTAAGCGGTCTAAACCAAGAAGAGTAGAAAATGAAAACTATGCACTAGTAGAATTTAACATTTTCTAAATCTTCTTATTATCCTTCAATTTTTACTATAAGAATAACCGGTATAGAAGCAAATATCCGGGATACAATCTGCGTTACATATGTACAAAAAGTGAAAATAGATGTCGCTTTGGTTTGTAGACTTTTAGGGAATAATACAGCGTTTTCAGTTTCCGCAACTAGTCTATACAAGCTGGTTTTATTTATAGTTTTAGCACATGTGAAGACAGCTATGTAGAGTTTTAAAAACACAACTTTTTTGTGTTTATTTGTTTGTCTCTTTTTTCAATTTATATATATATATATATATATATATATATATATATATATATATATATATATATATATATATATATATATATATATATATATATATATATATATATAGTATTTGCCTTTGAAAAAGACTCGTTTAGAGTCGAAAGCGCTTCGGCTAATTAGTTATTAGTTTTGTACTGTTCGTCGTCAGTTTATTGCATCTATTTTAATTAATCCCTGACACACGTGATCCCTTGGTGGATCCAGTACGCTTGAAAGGGTTGCTCTTCGCCATATGATTTGTATTCTTTATATATATATATATATATATATATATATATATATATATATATATATATATATATATATATATATATATATATAATAAGCAATAAAAAGAAGCAAAGCCAGCATGTTTTCTAAAACTTAACAAATAGTTTAGTTCTCAAAGTTAAAGCATCATAACATCAGAACTTACAGTATTACGAATTAAATGAATGTAGTCCATAAAGATATATACAAATCCTAAAGAGGCCTTCGAATTTTTTGATGTGTCATAGGTACTTATGTTTCAAAATGACAACAACCAATCTTCTTCGAATAAATTCACAATAATCATAGAATAATATTTTAATTCAATTAGTACTTTTTAAAACCAGCGAATAATCCAACAAATAGTACCTCTCAAATTATATCTAAGCACGATATTAAACACGTTTGCAGGCTAATGCTACAACAAGGACGTAAGAAATATGAGTGACAAAACTTTCTAGCTCTAACCACTCACATGCATTTATTCAGCCCTAAAACGACTTTTCCGGTGACCTAGTGGTTAAAGAGTCCGCCTCGGATGCGGAATGTTGCGGGTTCAAACCCTGACCGAGTCATGTCTAGCTCTAACCTTTTACATGCATCCATATAGCCCTAAAACGACTTAACCGGTGACCTAGTGGTTAAAGAGTCCGCCTCGGAAGCGGAAAGACGCGGGTTCTAACCCTGACCGAGTCATGCCAAAGACTTATTTAAAAATGGTACTAACAGCTGCCTCGCTAGCAGCTCAGCGTTAAGAGGCTAGCGTTAGGAATGGTCGGCCTGATGTCTGGATATTGTCACGTGTTGGACATCATGCTATATATCTGCGGCATGATGTCCGAGTGCTAGACATCATCATAAACTGCGACAATGCAGACATTGTAGCGATGTGACTAAAATATTGTTAACGCTACGTTAAAAATCCAAATATATAAAACAAAAACACAGAGGCAGACACAATGAGCCCTAAAACGTACATTTTCCTACTTGCCGCGTACCCTTACACAATACCCTAAGTTGTAAAAGAACCCACCTGACTGAACCATCCAGTGGGAATTAAGTTTATTTTTAGAAGAAGCCACCCTGGCACATTAGCCAATAGGAAATGACTCCAAACTTGTCAACTGGTTCAATATATGGGTTAAATGTAACTTTCATACACTTAAATTTAACTTGCAATAATTTATTTCTTGCTTAATATATTTGAAATAGAATCTGCACCAAAGGCATACAATAATGGCTACCACGATGATTCCCATCTATGAATAAATTATAGATATACAGTCAAGTTCCAAAGTAACCCATGTTGTAAAAGAACACACACGCACGCACACACACACTCACACACACACGGTGAAAAAAGTCTTTTCCAGTGCACTGAATACAACAAGGGCTCATGTGTGTCAAAGACTGATTACGATAAATGCAAAAACGGACAACGAAGAGTGAAAAACTAGTAAAACTAGATACTAGTTTTGCATTGTTTGTTGTCATACAAATACCAAAATCATGCAGGTTGGATAATATTTTCGATTCTTCCGCTATGGAGATTAGAGCCCCTGTCCTTGGTTAAGCAATACCCATCCCTTATTTACACGCGTTAATCCATATTACATAATGACAAAAAAATTAAAAAACAAATGATTCAACAAAATCGGTGGTATATGCACTCATGCGTAGCAGACACACTTGCATCGCGAACTGGTAATTAGTTTTCATCTATCTAAAAATACATTCTGGATTCATGTGAAAGAAATAAAGGTATATGAGATTAATTACATTGAATTAAAAATAAAAAAAACAAACAGATCGGAAAATTACTATGTCGGCTTTCTGCACGAGATTGGTTGATAATATTAGGCAGAATTATTATTTAATACAGATAAATCTATAATGCAGATTAGAGAACATTTTAATTGGTACTCGTTGCAGATTCAAGTCCAGGTTCATGCGTAAACGGCACCCATAACCTTGCGTGCCCACACCAGTCTGTATTCCTTTACAACTAAGCACACATCAATCATTAAGATGCTTTAGAGTATGTGCTATATGCATTCAAAGGTAACCGAGCTAGTAATAGTCATCTATCTACACACCAAGAATGACTGCGAGTGATTCTGCTATGCACTCATGCATATACCGATGACTATGTAGTCTCATTAAGCGATGTGTGATATTAAGGCAGTCCACGTAACGCTTATGATTTGAATATTATCTTCTGTAGGATTCAGCAAGAGATGCACTTACAGGCCTTATTTATGGTCCTTGTGATTCTAGCCCACAGAAATGCAGGTACATTAATGTCATCTTCATCTTCATAATGCTACTACTACTACTACTACTACTACTACTACTACTACTAATAATAATAATAATAATAATAATAATATTATTATTATTATTATTATTATTATTATTATTATTATTATTATTATTATTATTAACAAGGCAGAGGATGTCTGACCGAGCAATGTCAACTATGGCGCGAATCCTGCTAGAAGTCTTCTGTTTCTTCTGGTTCATAAGACTTCGATACAACTGCTGCTGTAAACTCGAAAAACCAAAGAGACCAAACTATACATATTTTTTTTCTAATTAATACATGACCACATATATCACAACTTCTCAATTGTTCTCAACCTTACAACTTCATGGTTTCTCATTAACTTTCCGTAGAATACCACCGTAAAAATATACAATTCAAACGTCTAATACAGGAAACTATTTCTACTTAGCCACCCGAGGCCTGTCAAATCATGATTTTATTTTTAAAATATATGTCGCCTGTAACTCTATCCCATATTTACCACCATAACAACAATAAATAATAAACATCACCTGCCGACGACGACGGAACAGTCCTTTCTCGTTTATTTCATTTTATAATTTACTAGTGTCCAATCATGAATAATGCACGTGGGGGTCACACAATCAAATTATGCAATTATGATTTTAATCGGATCTACTGAACGACATGGCAAGGCTCTGTCTGATCTAAATTCACTTAAAGTAAAGCATAACGTTATGAAGTATCATAAACATTTTATATTAGTAATTAGATCATTATCTGGTCTTTGGATTATCACCACTGCATCTTATTTTCGTTGTTGTTATATGGTGTGATTGTTGTTGATGTGATTGTTTCCTCTGATACTGATACTGTATAAACCTATATTTTTCTCAAAGTTTAAATTAATAATTTGCAAGTGTTTTATCGAGAGTTCAGGTGACATTTTAGAAATTAAATTAATATTAATTGAATACATGGTTACATTTCATACATTATATACATTGTATCTTAATTGTTGGTAGGTTTTTATCCTTGCGCGAATTACAGAACGCATGTTACGATATTATCATTCGTTCCTGGGCTCATTACAAACATCTTAACATAATAACTACACAATTTGAAATGTCCATGAGGAAAGAATTTCGTGGTTTGCAAATAAACATATTACTTCATGGGGTCACCATGTATTATGAAACTGGAAAACAAATACTACTATTTTCTTTAGCGAATTTATTTTCGTGGATTTTCGTCCCATACGAAATAAGCAAAATTAAATCATCGACAAATGTATCTGAATAAAAATGTTTAAAATATGCCATTAATGCATTAATTTTTAGCATTTATTTTTTGTGGTCAAGTAATTTAAATGTTTTACTTGATTTGAATACACATGTACAATAAGAAAACAAAATTTTGTGTAGAAAACGTATTCAGATTTGTTTTCCTCTGGCATATGTAATCCAAAGACTCCTGGCTGTCACATCTATGATTATATACAATCAACAGTCGATTATAGAGACACCATTGGTCCATTTTATTCTTCAATCATGCGAGCAAGCAACAGCTTCCAAAACATGCTTAAATTATTCTTAATAAATTTGTCTGTTATTCGGACAACCAACTATCCGGACACAGTCAGTGTCTCCCAATGACGCCAGATAATAAACACTTTACTGTTAAGTGAGTAATGGATAGTAACATTGACGATTCATGTTAATACCAAATACCTTTATTTCAGAGGCTGGTCAACATTGTTTTTCGTGTAATAATGTACCCACTCCTCAGTCATGTACGCATATCACGCTGTGCGGTGATCACGAGGTGCGTCATGTTTTTCATACATTTTTAAAGCTGCTATAAAACCTCGGTCGCCGAATCTTAAAAGAATCACTCAATTCTATAAATGTGTAGTTATAATAAATGATGTTAGGTATATGTATAGATTACTTTGCTGTTTCAACTATGTTTGAAGCAACAAAATTCAAAATTGTATTTGAAGCAACAAGATTTAACATTATTATTGTTGCCCACATGTTAAATTTGATTTTATTAAAGTACGAAAAAACCAAACTAAAATAGTCATTCACTCAATTGAACGCACGAGCAATAAATAATTTATGTTTGGTTGTCAATGTAATATACTAATTCCTCATTGTTTATATCAAAATATAATCTTTCCCTCTTTTTACTATTTTTCAGTCATGTTTCACTGAGAGCATTATCAGCGAAAGTGGTACGTTCTTTTACAACGTCGGCTGTATGTCCAAATTGGTTGGTAACACCATCATTTATAGCTAAATGTTTTGCTTTTAAAGATTTGACATTTTCATATACAGACTAAATTTTTATATATTCATATTAACAGGGTCACATATTTTCACTGCTGAAATCCTGAAGAAAACACACACACACACACGCATATATATATATATATATATATATATATATATATATATATATATATATATATATATATATATATATGATATATTTATATCTTTTGTAATTTGACTAGGATGATCTGGCGACTTAATTTTTCCTATCATTATCAGTGGGTAAAGTAAGGTATATGCATATAAAAAGTAATATTAAAAGGGCGATGATAGGATGTATTTATCACAGCCATCTTCTTGTAAACGACGTCAGAACGAAATCAAATAAAATACGCCATTATGGAAAGAAAAAAACGAACTGAACTAAATGGTTCAACATATCGATCCACTGTAAGTAATGTCATCGTTTTAAAGGAACATTGTACTAAAGTAAGGAGATAACAGGTTATATGAAATCGATGTCCTTATAAACGAAAATATTTATGACGGATAAATTACGTTTTAAACATTATGTCTTATATTGGCAATCGAAGTGAAGTTGCAGATTTGTAAGGCGTACTCGACAATGTTTAGTTCATAAACTGGGCAATATTCAAACAGGAATAGTTATGTTACCATAGACGGTAATGACGAGCACCTGCATCCCAGAAGAAGAGACGAGAAAAACCGTCTGAACATATGGAATTAGATAGTTGCAAGTATGCATCTACATAAACTATTTTGATGAGAATACATTAAAAGCTTCTCTTTAAAAATAACAAGTAAATGTATTGTAAATAGCACAGACTTAATTGGTAACAAAAAAACCCCTTGCCCTCAAGGTAAAGGAAAAAACCCAAGAATAATATTTCTGTCAGCAGTCCGTTTCCTTATCCCATCAATATGGCTCCTTTCATGTTTCGACTATCATCGATATAGCTCTCTTTGCTATCACTATTTCGTCATCCTTCTCTGGACAAGCTTAGAGCAGTACGGGGTTGAAAAAGCATACAACAGAATGCCAGGGAGAAAATAAGTTTTCTTGGTATTTTTATTCACAAAGATTGTCCTGTAAGGTCATCATCACACATACA